CCATACGTATACTTGTGCTCTAAACACGACTTTTCTCCCCTGTCCAAATCAAACACACATCACCTTACTCATTCCAACCATATCCTTGTTCTTTTCTCCTCAACCCTTTTTACTTCTGAACAAGAGTCATAGCAATGTTTATAACAGTTAAACACTAGAGCAAATATAATTGTCCAACAAAAGGGGATTTGTGAAACATATCATGGTTCATTCATATAATGGAATATAATTTGACCAATAAAAATGACACAGTAGAAGATGAAATAGCAAAAATGACACCCACCATACATTGTAAAGGGAAAAAAAAGTTACGAAATAGGTTTTCTTCCCTGAAGAACGGATACCAAGATGCTATCAGTTACACATGTCTACTTTTAGGATTAGGGCTGATTTCTGCTTTCCTCTTTTTTCTTTATCACTATATTGTAACCTTTGTAAATGGATATATATTCTTTTGGAAAAACAAAATATTAGAAATAAAACAATTCAAAATAGCATGTTAAACAAGTTCTCTGTTTTTCAGCACCACGCTCAGCCAGTGAGCAAACCAGCCATCCCTATATAGGATCCTAACCCGTGGCCTTGGTGTTATCAGCACCGCACTCTACCGAGTGAGCCACGGGCTGGCCTCGAAGTTCTCTGTTTTTCGAGCTTGTGTCCTCAAGCCCCACCAGGACTGGCCTGCTCTACCTGCAAAGCTGAATGTGCCCAGAACCACGGCAGCCATAAGACCTTAGACGGGGGTTCACTTTGCCTCTAGGTGGTACAAAGTCATGATTCCCAGAGAGATGGGCCTAGAGAGATAAAGAATTGGCCACCTCAGTTATGATATTACCCTAGAAATACATACAGCCTACAACTCTAAATGAGGTCCTAAATAAATGTTTTTCAAACATTTAGCAGAAAAACCATTTTCTCTTCAAATGAAATCTTATGTAACATATCAACTCCTAAACAAACAAAAATTGTGTTGATGTGACTGAAGTAGAATTGGGGGAATTCAGAGATCCTGATTCAGCTTACCCCCTCTGAGCACCCCCCAAACCTCCCCCATGCAAATTTTCATAGTAGCTCTTAAAGTAGCTTTGTAGCTTTCCAAAATGACAATTTGATAAATGAGCAGTGGTTGGTTTTAAGAAGGAAGCTTTCATTCCAGCAACAGATTTGTGGCCTTACGGTACAAAATCCACCCAAAGTTATTTTTACCTCCTAAACACACTCATTCACTACATGCACACCCGAGTTCCTTGAGGCCCAACCTACCTTCTGTGTAGAAAGCTTTCTTCATCATGTCTACCTACAAACTCCTGCAAATCCCAGATCTTCTCTTTGGTCTTTTCTTTCTTTCTTTTTTTTTTTTTTTTTGTCTTTTTTCGTGTCCAGCAACGGATCGCAACCCTCAGTGTCACGCCCGTACCGGACCGGGACCGGCAACGGGATCGCAACCCTCAGTGTCGCACCCACACCTCGCTCAGCCAGTGAGCAGGAACCGGTCTGTATGTGGGATCTGAACCCTTGGCGGGAGCGCCACTGCGCTCCCAAGCGGCGCACTGTAGCAGTGCGCCACCGGGCCGGCCCTCTTTGGTCTTTTCTGACCTCCAATACCTTAGATAAAATTCTTTCCCTTCATCTGTGGCCCACAGTACTTCAACTGTTATATTATGTTACATACTTGTAACATGGTGCCCAAGCTGGGTTACAGAAAATACTCAAGTGAGTCCCATAGGTGGGACTGAAAACTCCCATGCTAACCATAGACACCCTCATGTGTCTGTCTGCATCTGCTGGTTTATATGGAGGTTAAGGAATCCAGGTGGTGGCAAAGAGGAGAATGTAATGGTGACCATGATTGTGGTTTAGACAATGTAGATAAGCCTCATGTAAGGAGAAACTATGAGACCCCATGAGAAAAAAAGTCACGTCAAACAGAGTCTGGCTCTACCAGACTCAGCCACATGGTCTACAGGTAGAAGGGCAAATGGTGGTTTCCAATGGAGTGGAATGGCCATTCTTGAAATCAGTGAAGCCCAGCCAATCTGTTGGTACACATACCTTCTGGGGATAGAAGGCTGTGTTTCCAAACAGAAATAGCTATTCCAGTACTCTGGGATCTCTCTAGAAATGAAGAACTCACTGGAAGGAAGTCAATGTTCCAACTGGCAGCAGAAAGGTAACTAACTGGTCTACAGCACCAACCACACATTAACCAGTCTCCCAGAGGCAAGTAACAGTGATACTAAAAGTTTGTAGAACAGAGTCTATCAGGACTGATGGAAAACAGTATACCAAGTTGCTGTGCATGAGAATTGAGAGACTGAGAAGAAAACAGAAGTAATGGAATAGTCAATGGTCTGAACCAACAAATAAGAGCACAGGGGACCCACCTTGTTTTAAAATGAAAGTAGGAACAAGATGGGAGAGGAAGAGGAGACGGTCCAGTCATTCATAGGTTGAGACTCAGTGACAAAATTCAGAAGGTAATGTTAAGGTTGGCCCATGTACACCCACAGACCAGTAAGAGAAGGGAACATTGAAGCTACACACTGTATTCTTATTATTTTTTCACAGATTAACATTATTGGGGATTAACATTATTGTGTATTGTATATGTCTGTGAGATTGTCATGCCTCAGAGATCTATGTATCAGAAAAACATTCCCATGGGAGGTTCAATCTACATGAAGTGTGGCATGATAATCACTTGGTACTGAGATATTTCCACTGGCTATAGAAAGTTAGTAGAAAGGATTCCTTGGTCCAGTGAAGACTGCTTTAAGCATAAGCATATTTCATATACCGAAGAACTTTTATTTAAAAATTTGGAAAAGGGGCTGTCTGGTTAGCTCACTTGGTTAGAGATCACTTGGTAACAACAATATCAAGGGTTCAGATCCCCATACTGGACAGCCACCAAAAATATAAATAAATTAAAATTAATTTAATTAAAAATAAAATAAAAGTTCAGAAAAAGAAAAGCAATGCAACTATCAAAGTTTTGTAGCTTGGAACTAAGATGATTATGATGGAGCAAGAGAGTCCGTAAGTCCAAGCATCATAGATTACTTTAGTGCCATCAGGCATAAAGTCAAAACTGCCACAAGCTAACAGACATGTATGTGTTGAAAACCATCTGAAGAACACAGAACATACTCACTTTCCCCACATTTTCTAAAAGGATCCAAATTATTCTAGACCTTGTTCGTCACCATCCCTACCTCATTTTTTGATTCTGAAGTATCCGTGTAGTGAAACCATATTTATGGCATATTCGTTTAGGTTCGGATTTGTCTGTTAAGATCTATATGTTAATGTACTTATGTATTTATTTAAGTTTCACGGAATAAATGAGAATAATCCAGGAATTAAAAATTCACATAATTAATTTTATTAACATGCATGTTACAATAAGTTGAGGAGACTATTTGAATTCAAAGTTTGTATAACAATTAAATGCATGTATCATTAATATTTACAAAGGTTTTTTGAGTCAGTGTTGGTTTCTAAAAGCATGATTTTATTAGATGTTGACTAATAAACCAGACATTACCCTCCTAAGTTTAGACGGAAAAGAGCTCAAGAAGGAGGCTCTTCAACCTAGAAAAGGAGCAGGTGTATTAAATGTTCTAAAGTCTTTTCCTCAAGACCTACTTCTTCTTTGGGGTCTCTCTTATTGTGATTCTCAGTGTTATCATCCTTTCTGGATACAGGGAAAATTCCCCTTTAAAAATCCAGCTCATCACCTCTAACAAAAATTTAAAATGCCATTAACTTATTCCCCAAAATATACATGCATGCTTTTTTAGAGAGGACTTTTTAACTTGGACATAAAGTTTACATTAACATGGAAAATACAGTCATCAAAAACAGTCCAATTTCAAAGCAGATCTGTATCCTTATGAAGTCTAGAAATGTAGCAAAGGTTTGGGAATTCCCAAATCTCCTCAGTTTAAGACAGATATACTCAGCTCTGGAGGGCAGGTGAAACTTGAGAGTGCCTTTTCCTCAACAGATGGCCCCTGGCTGTCATCTTATCTACTTGTCACCTATGTTAAGTTAAACAAAACAGCCTATCATCTCCCACCCAAGGATAAAGTGCAAAATGAGGGTCTCAGAATCTCAGATTTCCTGGTGGCCTCCAATCCCATATTGCTTTCAATTTGAGGACAAAGAGTAACTGGAAGGGTGGTGGTATGTGACCTGGAAATGACTAACTAGCTCTAGTAGTTATTCTTGTCACTCTGAAGCATTCTCCTGTGACTCACTCGATTTACTCTGTGCTCCCAATCCAGAAGTGATCATACAAAACCTATCCATTTCTAATGCATGACCTGAGAAAATCTTAGCCATACAGTAACTCTAGCATACAAATACTGCAAATCAAACACAGATACTATCACATGAAATTAAATGAAAGTTTAAGAAATGTATGACTGAACACACAATATACTTAATTAAAAAAATACTTTTTTTAAAGGCCAACCTGTATTTAATGTCAACCGATGACTTTGGAGGAATGAGGCATATCTTGGTTTTATTGGTATGATCCTTGCCTTTTTTACAATCCACAATTAAAAACACGTAATTCTCTAGTACACAGCAAGAGTAGTCATCTTAATTCCTGTAGCAAAGGTATCCAAACTGAACTCTTTATTTATTCATCTAAGCTTAAGGTTTTAAGAGAGTTCCTAGAAAAATATAAATCTATAATAATTTACTTGGATAATTTTCTTGTTAGAATACACATTAATTTTGGTGGCATTAAATACTTGGTAACTTTATTAATTTATCAATACTACAAAAATGCAAGTAAGAAATAAGAATAACTGTCTATCAAAGAAGGTTTGAAAATAATTATATTTAGATATCTTCATTTGCAATCTTCCATTAGTAATGTTAGGCCTAAGAAAAGGTGTCATTAAACATGTCATCAGATAACAGTGGCAGAAAGACAAAAGATATATCAACCTTTTAAAAATATTCATATTTAAAAGAATACTTACTCTTTAGACTCCCTCTAAGAGGATATATCCTGAGTTTTTCAATAATATCAACCACGATCAAGCATAACAGAACCAGAGATACCGGCAGGTCAGGTAAAGTATCAGGTAATACATCAGCGGAACCATTAATATTCTTTTGAACCTGTTTTTAAAAACATTTAGAAGCATTAAATTTGGAGGATTTATTTGTTCAAAATTCTTTCAATAGTCTGACAGCAGCATTAAATTAATTATAAATATATTTACTAAAGAACTAGAAGCTTGGTTTTCAATTTCTCAGGTTTTAAACTCCACAAGGTTTTGAACCATTTTGAAAGACGTAATAAGGATTCACATGAATGGAAGAGTTTTCAATTAAAAATAAAGCTTAGTAAATACATGCAAAAATATAATGGTAGGCTTCTAGTAATAATGGAATGGGTGATTCTTTCCAAATCTACTGCTAGGTAGAGCCTCTGAGAGCCTAGTCTCAAAAAAACTTGTGGGACAAATATTAGTGTTTAGGGTCTTTCAAGAAGGGAGAGCCCAGGTAAACCTGGCTAGGCTTTGGGGCACTTCCTTCATCTGGATAAGGTATCTACAAAAAACACCTATGGTCAGCATCACATTAATGGTGAAATATGGAAATTTTTCCCTCTGAGATCAGGAACAAGACAAAAATGTCACCAAGACCTTTTCTGCTATACTGGAGGTCTTAGCCAATGTAGCAGAGCAAGAGAAAGAAATAAACAGTAAAAGTATGGAAAGAAAGAAAAGCAAAATATCTTTATAAATAGGTTATATGATTGAATATGGAGAAAATCCTCAAAAATGGATAAATTATTTTTAAACACCAATAACAAAGAGTTAGAAAATAAAATTTTTTAAAAATAATACCATTCAATGCAACCTCAGTCAATATTCCAACTTTTTGTAGAAAATGACAGGGTCATTCTAAAATTTATATGGAAATAAGAAGGGCAAAAAACTCTAGAGGAAAATAAACAAGATAGGAAGATTTACTCTTTTGGATATAAAAAGCTATTATAAAGCTACAAGAATTAAGACAGTGTAGGGTCAGCATAAGTATAGAAAACTAGGCAATGGGATAGAACAGAAAGCCCAGAATCCCATCATGTACAAGGGTACTTCAAAAAATTTGTGGAAAAATAAAAGTAAAGGATAATATGAGTCTTTCTACCAACTTTTTGAAATTCCTTTGCATATGCACACCTGATTCATAACAAAGGTAGCACTGCAGAGAAATGTGGGAAAAACAGGCTTTTTAATAAATGGTGCTCAGTCCACTGGATATTATTTGGAAAAAAATAAAACTTGACTCGCTACTTCACAGCATATACAAAAATCAGTTCCAGATGGATTGTGAATCTGAAATAGAATGGAAAACCAATATAGTCTCCAAACTATAATATGGGGGAATATCTTTAAGACTTTGAGGTTGAAATTCACAACGTGACAAAATCTTCTCAAACAAGTGACCAGAAGCACTATCCGTAAAAGAAAGAAATTGCTCAATTGAGCTATTTTTAAATTAACAACTTCTGTTCATCAAAAGATACCATTAAGAGTATGAAGTTGTCACAGGGAGTGAAGATTTTGCAATATGTACGAGGGTACTTCAGAAAGTTCGTGGAAAAAGAGAATTAAAAGATAATGTGAATCTTTCCATAAACCCTTTGAAGTATCCTCTATAATCAACAAAGAGCTTGTAATCTGAGCATGTAATTAACTCTTCCAAATAAATTTTAAAAAGATAAGCAACACAATAAAAATGGGAAACATGAAAAGATGCTCAACCTCGTTAATTATTGGGGAAATGCAACTTAAAACTACAGTGAGATTCAGGAACATACCCACCAGAACACCAAAAATAAAAAGACTTACTACGCCAGCACTGGTAACAATGTGAAGCAACAGGAATGCTCATTCTCTGCTAGCGGATTCTATGCTATAGAAATTAGCACGATCTCCTCCGAAAACTGTTTGGCATTGTCCATTATAAATTAAACATTTCAGTATCTTATGACTCATCAATTCTACTTGCTATGGGTTAAATGTGTCCCCAAAAGTTCATGTATCGGAAACTCAACCCCCACTGAGACAGTGTCAAGAAGGTGGGAAATCCAGTTGTGGCATTAGAAAGGTGGGGCCTTTGAAAGGTGATTAGACTGTGAGGACTGTACCCTAGTGAATGGATTGATCCATTCATGGAGTAATGAGTGTGGTTCTGATGTCTTTAAAAGGAGAGCAAGTGAGGAGGCTGGCTCTCTCTTGCTCAGTCCATTCTCACCATGTCACACCCCGAGTCACTAAAGGGTCACCACCAAAAACAAGATCCTCACCAGATGTGCCCCCTGGACCATGGACTTCCCAGACTCTAAAATTAATTTAAATTTATTTTCTTTATAAAGTTTATAAAATAAATATTTTCTTTATAAATTACCGAGTTTCAGATATTCTGTTAAGAAGCAACAAAAACAGAATAATACGCTTCTCCCCGTATTTAACCAACTGAAATGCTTGCACATGTGTACCAACAGGCATGCTCGAGGATGTTCCCAGTAACATTATTTGTAACAGACAAAGCTGGAAACAACTGAAATGGCCATCAAAAGTAGAAATGATAAATAAATTGTTCTATCTTCATAAAATAAAAGACAGCAATCAAAATGAGCTACAGTTATACACAAAAAACATGAATAACTCTCACAACCATAAAAGACTTTTGAATAAAAGTCAGACATAGATTATATATGTTAAATATAAATTATATAACAGATATATATATATTTAATTTATAATTTGATTTCCCTTTATAAAAAATTCAAAATCAGGCAAACTAATCTGTGTTGTTAGAAGTCAAGGTAGACGTTACCTTTGGAGAGAAGGGAAAGGCCGTTATTGCAAAGAACATGGGAGCAGAGCTGGCTAAGTTTTATTTCTTGACCTAAGTAGCATTTACTACAAGGCTTTGCTTTGTGCTATTCCATTGATATTGTACATTTGTGTTTTGTGCACTTCTGTGTATGTGCATCACATATCAGGGAAAAATTAAATAAGAAAAAAAGGAAAGAAAAATATGCAATATGAGGTGAGATAGCATGGGAAAGAACCAAATGGGACTTTCTAATTCCAGATATACCATCATTTTATGACTGTGAAGTTCCTTGAAACGTTGTAAACTGAATTTTTAAAGCTCTTAGGAAATTCTCAAGTGCTTTACAAGGTCTTTGGGTGGGGGATGATAAGTCTAGATTGCAATATTCATCTGCTGGAGTTTGTTTGATGCAAAGTACATCCGTGTGGTCTTTTGAAGTTATGCATCATATATTGTCCTGATGTAGCATCTAGAAAGTATTCTAAAAACCATGTCATTTCCAATATCGTACATTACCCAGTACACACCTCTCTCACAGCACTTATGATACTTATTCAATTGCCTGTCTATTTTCCTCTCTCCTGTCAGTAGATAATTATTGAAATCCAGAGACTCTCCCATATTTTTTACCTGTTTTATCCCCAGCACCTAACATGGTGACCGGCCTATAATATGCACTTAAGGAATTTTTGCTCAACGTATAAATGAAATATCACAAAGTAATTTAAGTTGTGTAGTTTGGGGAAGTAAAAATGATATCTTCCACAGCACATTGCAAATTAATAAGATGTAAGGCATTCTTTGAACTTCTTGGATAATAAAGTTCTCACAGGCTAAAAGTTCTGCCTATAATATTCCTGCCCTGTGGATGCTCCTCAAGTCCTTTCGAAGCCGTATTTAGTCGAAACATAAACTCAAAGTTATTTTCAAATAAATATCATGTGCAAATCATTTGTCAATAGATACCAAATATCTTAAAGTATAAGTGGTATTCCTTTGGATCTCGTCATACTCTATTTAGAACTCAAAGCAATCATAAAACAATCAAGTTGGCAGAAGAAACAAATGTAAATCGACTTTCAAATTCCTTATTTTTTAATTATACTGAAATAACATTCCTGTCTCTCACACACAAACACAAAAGTAATTTTTAAAAAATTGGCTGCTAGACTCTCCTACACAATCACAGAAGTAACAGTGATATATTAGAACTTATATATATATATATATTTTAATTTGTAAGAAGACTGGATTAAAGAAACTTTAAGAAATTTGTTGGGCACACCACTCTATCAAATTCTGATAACAAGGAGTTTTAAAATCTTGCAGCAGAAGAAATCAAAATGTCATACCTCAGTCACTGCTATGGAAAAGCTGAAGCTAGGAAGCGTGGTGAGTATAACACACATCATCATGACAGGTCTCCTAGCAAAGGAGAAAAAAATAAGCAAAAGCAATAATGTACAATATCAACAGTTCCTGTTACATTTTGCTAATTTTGCAGTTCTTGTTCCATTCATCTATATTTTTCTAAGAAGCTACTGCTTCCCTATTTCCATTTCCCAGATGTTTGAGTGTGGCAGAGATAAACACGTGCAAAAACCAGAATGCTTTTCTTGAATAAAGGGTGAGAGATTTCCAGATAACCCAAGTAATTAGGAAATCACAGACTACTAAAAGCATCATAGTGTAAGTCAAATGACATTTAACACTTTTATAATTCAGTAATTAGACTCTTACCGAAGAAGTCAGGCTCTGGTGACTGAATAAAAGAACAGAATGTCTTTCTCAAGTTATATGACACCTCATGTTGTAAAACTGATTCTTCAAAAAATATACTTAGAGATGATGAACTTAACATTAGATACTTAAACATCACTTAAAGTAAAAACATTTGGATTTTTTTTTTTTTTATAATAAGTACATTCTAAGATGTTGTTGTGGGGGGGGGGGGGGTTTGGTTGGCCCGCGGGGGGCCCCACCGGTGCGTGGGGTCTGGGGGGGGGGGGGGGGGGG